AATAATAATAATAATATATATATATATATATATATATATATATATATATATATGTGTGTGTATCTATTATTAATACAACAAATCATATTCCTTAAAAATAATACATATATTACAATCCCTCAGTTACTAATCCCCACATAATTACCTCGGATCCTAATTCCTAACTGGAATTCTATTTTTTCAGACATCAATAAGAACTCCGATTCTTTGTACTTTTCATCGAGTCTTTGACAGAAAAAGAAAAAGAACATGTCTCGGGAGAGAGCCAAACGTGCGACACTGCCTCCAGCTCAGGAGGTGCCATTTTAACTCTACTTCTTTAGTTTCCTCTTTTAATTTCCAGATTCATCAATTTGTTTTCTTCTAAATCTGAATTAACCCTTTACTATAAATCTATGGCAAAATTTTCTTGCATAGGGATGTGAGATTTACATGATTTATAATATTTGCAGAATATTGAGAAGTTAGAAAAGGTTGTAAAGCAGGGAAATTACTATGGAGCTCAACAGATGTTCAAGTCTATTAGCGCTAGGTACAATCTATAAGCCACCCCTTCTGATAATTTGGCCTCAACTCTAAAAGGGTTAATCTTTGATTCAGTTAATATGCTTTGCTTTCAGATATGTGTCCGCTGAGAGGTATTCTGAAGCTTTGGATATTCTTCAGTGTGGCGCTTGCTTACAATTGGAGAATGGACAGGTTATATAATCTATTCACTCCTATGGAAATTGCATATACCTTCACAATTTTATATGATTGTATTTGACTGAGCCCCAGAGTTTAAGATGCTAATTTGGCTAATATGTTATATTAGTGCTAGTAGAAGGTTATACCTAAGTCTTGGTGGACAAAGTTACCTAGTACCTGTGCTAGTGGGAGGTAGTAGGTGGTGGAATAGTCGGGGTGCACGCAAGTTGGCCCGGAGGCTATTGTGAAACAAAACAAAAAAATTAGTGATAGTAGAAGTAAGTATTGTGTTGATGGTTGAAAATTTAGTGTGATACAGAAAACATTATCTTGAAGTTTAAAGATTGAACAAGTTAATAAACTTGAATCTTGGAAGGTGTGAAAGTTGTATATAACAAAATGGTGTCAATATTTTGGGATGTTCTAAAATGAAAATAATAACCGAGGGGTCTATCGGAAACAACCTCTCTATCTCCACAAGGTAGGGATAAGGTCTGTGTACCTATTACTCTCCGCAGACCGCACCTGTGGGAATACACTATGTTGTTGTTCTAAAGTGAAAAGAAAGTCTTATAAAT